GTGATTAGGTTGTAATTTATCTATTATAAAACTCACTGCATTTGTGTACAATATTTCCGGAGCTGCATGTCCTATGCGTAAAAGCTCAACATGTTCACCACAATTCAAGTTTCTTTCCTCTCCATCCAACTTCACAGATAGATGCCCAACATTTGCAAAGCAAATGTGTTCGGAAATATGCTCATTTACTGACGATACATCAACCAACAATATAACATGGTAAGTTATGATACCAAAGATGATTCTTCGAAGCATTGGAAACACCATTATTAATCAGTCGGTTGTACTGTGCTGAGTAGCTTGACGTGAATGCTCGCAATCCTTTTATTTGTTCACTGCTTTTTATGTTTGTCTGTAACACCAGATGCTCGATTCACACTATCAGGTAAACATAAATTAATGTAATAGGCCTAGATAATCCATAATAAAGAATACCTTGCCTTTCCATCACAATTCAGTAATCCTTGCAATATTAGGTTTTGAAATCACTTTTATAATAAATTTTAGCATGTATTTGTTAAATTTAAGCAATTTCTGCTGTGCAACTTGTTGTAGGCCTAGGCCTAGGCCTATGTAGCCTATTTTAATTTATACAGTTGTGACAATCGTATTGTCTAAATAATAACAAATAGGCTAATAATAATATTCACCACGTGTTCCTTTATGTTTGCTTATACCAGATGCCCGATTCATACATCATAAATGTAATACAGTATTTATAGGAATATCTGCTTCTCGATAGTTTACTACCGAGATTTGCTTTCACCTTTCATAAAGAGAAGCTTTCACACATGTCTGATACTTTACTGAAATACAAATCTTTCTATACAAGCAGACTGGATACGCGTTTGAAAGAAAAGCTACAGCTGCTGCGCTCCGTTACCATGCGTACAGATCCTTGCTTATTAAAAGGGACCTAGAAAAATTATTTTTGTTATAGAGGTGATTTTTGATATGTCATTAGTAATAGAATCAACTTTAAATTTATTTTTTTTTTTTTTTTTTTTTTTTGGCAATTTTTAATGAAGTTATGAACATTACAATTTTGCCCCTTTAGGAGCATGACGTCAATGTTCGTACTGCGCAGGTATTGCGTATGCGCCAGAGCCATAGATAGAAAGAGTTGCGACATTGAGAATGTTCACACTATAAAATTTTGTGTGACAAATATGTGTTTTGTAATGTGAATTATATATATTATGGTCATGATGATATCATATTACAACCAAATGGGTATATCAATTTGTTAGTGTGGACAGCGCTTACTATCTCTACAAACGGCAGGTGGCACCAGCGGAGGGCATAAGGTCATTTTCCCCCTCCCCCGTCGAACAGGCCTGGACCCTCCTGTCTTCCGACGCCACCGATCAAAAATTAAAAACATAATAATTTGTCTATCCAAATAATGTTATTTTGATTGCTAATCCAAAATATTGTGGTCTTAAAGGACAATTTGCCATAACACCTCTCTCCGTGAACGCTACCAGGGATTTGTTTTATTCCGGGCCGTCGACCGAGGCTCTAGCCGGTCTCTTGGTTCGGACCCCTCCGTCGGACATGTCGAACCCCTTGTCGGCAAATTTCTGGCGTCACCGCTGACATACAAACCTTCTTTAATTCACGTCAGGAGGGCATAACATCATTCATATTAAATTTACCTGGAGGTCGCGAGTCCGGTTCTCAACCGAATTACTCGCAAGTACCGTACTGTATAAGTAATGAATTCAGTACGATAACACGTCATAGGTTACGTAGGGCATAAAATTATTCATATTAAATTTCTTGACGCAAAAAACTTCACATAGGCCTAGTCTTTTTTCGACAGTGTCTTAAAATATGATTTCAAGAATTATGTAAATATAGATTATGTTTAAATTATCGTTGTTTAACATAGTTTTCATAGCATTTCATGTTGCAAATATGGATAGTGTTTTTGTGATCCGTACCTGTACCAAAACACACAACAACCGAAAATGACGGAAAGTGCCATGTGGATCCATTTTAGTTTGTTTTGTTTGTTAGATTACCGCAAATAGGCTTAGTATGTTAATCCAGAATAAATTCAATTGAATTGAATAGTAATAATAATAATTGATATGTGTATAAAATAACGTGGTAACTGTGATATATTGTGTCTTGTAATGAGCATTGATTGGTCGGAAGTAGAGCAAAATTAAGCACACATGCTACGGACGTTTGCTGCAACGGTATTTATTTGATCTTCTATCATTCATAATATAGTTATTGCTGTTAGATAACAATAATTATAATAATAACAATGTTGACAAATGTAGACTTCCGTGACCTTGACCATTGACTTTCAATCAAAAATTAATTAAATCTTTTTTATAGACCCATATGAACCACTCCACTAAACTTCATGATGATCCATTTATTAGTTTTCCATAATCCTGCTAACAAACAAAGCGACTACGAATACCTATGAATACACAGTTAAACCTCCTTTTTGTAGGGTTAGGCATTATAGGAGTGTTCCACTGATACTCGTATAATAGGGTTATTGTTTATTTCTAACATCATTGAATGAAAAGTCCAACGAAGTGACAAATATATTCCTGATGATGACATAATTAATGTCGAAATATTGAATCCCAACACGGTGGCGTGTATTTCAATACTTGGAGTATGTATTATACTTTCTTGACAAATATAACGTACCGGTATTGTAACATGTAGAATAGGCCTATAGTAGAGTATTTTACATTCCCATCAGGTGAATAGGCCTTTTGATATGTTCTAGTTCATTACAAAAGGCATAGACTACTTAAACTACTAGTAGGCCTAAAATAATAGCTGTCGTTGGCAGATTAAATAGAATGTTAGTTTTGTTTTTACCATTATACTATCCTCTAACTCCTCTAGGCTTATGCTCAATTACGAATTGAAATTGTGCTCTAACATTACCCAGGGCTAGGTAACTCTCAGCGTACTCTCGGGGATCAAACTGACTCCGTTTCGAAGGAACGATGTAAGTACTAATGTAGTCGTGTTCGTATACACAGCAAAATCCTGATTCTTATTTTGAAAAAAAAAATACTTGTTTTAAGCAATTATTTTCTCAAAATAAGTAAATTTTTACTTGTCCATATACTGAGAACTTTTGGCTAACCAAGAATACAAAATTCTCACCAAGAATAATTCTTAGTAAGAATAATATTCTTACCAAGACTACAAAATTCATTCTTGACAAGAATTATATTCTTACCAAGACTGCGAAATTCATTCTTAGCAAGAATAATACTCTTACCAAGACTGCGATTAGCAAGAAAAATATTCTTACCGAGAATAATTCTTAGCAAGAATAATATTCTTACCGAGAATTCTTCTGAGCAAGGATGATATCTTACCAAGAATATAATTCTTAGCAAGAATAATATTCTTACCAAGACTACAAAATCCATTCTTAGCAAGAATTTTCTAATCGAGAATAACATTATGGCCACAGTATTCTTATCAAGAACAGTATTCTTACCAAGAATATCAAGAGAAATATCCTTACCAAGAATACTATTTCTTACAAAGAATAACAATAAAAATAAGATTCCACCTTGTAATTTGGACCTTGGCAAGAATAACATAGTAATATAAAAGTTATGTGTGCAAAAGAATTTCAATTTAATTTCTCTTACTTCCCACTAAGTTGTTGAATACTAGAACTAGTATGCTAGTATGGACTAATCATCCATAAAATTATAACATCTTCCTGTGTCTTAACACAAATCATTACAACTGTACCTTATACTAGCATGAAGTAGAGTACTGCATAATTGAAACTTGGCAGTAGACAAATTACTGAAACACAATACAGTACCTCTTATTTATCTCTGAATTTTATTTAACAAATTATCAATAAATATTGTCGTTATTCTATTTCACATGCTCTTTTTACAAATCAACATGGTAAAGAAATGAATTGCAACAAATATGAAATAAATGAATATAAAATCTCATGAAAAAAATACAACATGACAAAATGATCAACAAATACTGTCGTCATTCTACTTTACATGCTCTTATCAGAATAATAAAGAAAACGAATTGCATCAAATATAAAATTAAAAATTATGCTATAAATTACTATTTTAACAAATAAAAAAGTATATGAGTGTACTATATGAATTGAATGAATTTACAGAACCTTTTTTGTAACCTTTTAGAACATAATGGGTGAGTAAAAACCTTTATATTATAGACCTATATCAATTATATACAAAAGCATGCAAATATAAAAATGCATAATACAAAATCTGACTTGCCATGCTTTAAAGCTTGATTCCATAAATTACCATTTTAAAGAATGACTGTACTACTGTACTAGTATATGAGTGTCCATACACACAAGCAAGGCACAAGAATTAAATTGAATCTAAAACAGTTTCATGTTTTCTGTAACATTTTAAATAATAATAATAACAATAATAATAATAATAATAATAATAATAATAATAATAATAATTATAATAATAATACTGTTTTTATTCGGCAAAGTAATAGTACAATACTTGGAGTATGTATTATACTTTCTTGACAAATATAACGTACCGGTATTGTAACATGTAGAATAGGCCTATAGTAGAGTATTTTACATTCCCTTCAGGTGAATAGGCCTTTTGATATGTTCTAGTTCATTACAAAAGGCATAGACTACTTAAACTACTAGTAGGCCTAAAATAATAGCTGTCGCTGGCAGATTAAATAGAATGTTAGTTTTGTTTTTACCATTATACTATTCTCTAACTCCTCTAGGCTTATGCTCAATTACGAATTGAAATTGTGCTCTAACATTACCCAGGGCTAGGTAACTCTCAGCGTACTCTCGGGGATCAAACTGACTCCGTTTCGAAGGAACGATATAAGTACTAATGTAGTCGTGTTCGTATAGAAAGAACTGGTAGCGATGTCTCCCATTATATGCCTCTGCAGAAGGGGGATTGTACTCTGTAAGAAAAGCAAGGATCAATTTATCTCCTTTTAAAATTTTCTACAATCTCTTCATGCCTATTTACTTAACAAATTAATAATTAGCAGGTAGAGCCTATAAGTTTTATAACTTAAACAGTAGTTATAGGACATGAGAGAACGGCTGACCAACTTACCAACCACAGAATACTCATTTCCGTCCGTTCCTCTTAAAAGTTTTTGTCCCTGTTGGATTAAGTAATTCCGAAAAATTAAAGTTATAATGCAGTAAGGTAGAACAAAAAATCCCGCCATTCTATTCCATTCATTGGTCTATTCATATGCGGACAAATTCTTGTCGCATTATGCGATCTCACGTAAATAAATAATACGGTTACGTAATACATTTTTAAACCGATCCTCATTATGTCACTTTACGAGAATCTTCATTTTATAATAATGATAACTGCCGGTATTATTAATAATAATATAAGTATATTTAACTTTTATTTTATTGTTATTTAGGCGCACAACACATGTGACAAGGAATGTCAATAGCAAATATCACTGTCCTACTTGTGGTGACAATCCCTACACAAGACGAACACACACTCAAGATGCTTTAGACAAACTAAATCTCAGTTCGAGGTTTAAGGAGTGGAGTTGTTTTGGTCGTGAGAAAAAATCCTGCAACCCAGGACACTGGGATTGAATGGCAATCGTCTTAACCACCATGCTATTCAATTCCACTCTATTACCGTCATTAACATTAGGTAGTTTTCGCCGCACGACGTTAACTTCAACGTTAGTACCCTACATGCAACGCGATAGCTCCGCCCCTTTTGTAAACAAATCGAAATACGCATGCGCAAACCCGTAACTAACGTACGTCGAGTACGTAAAATCCTGAAGTTAACGTACTCCGCAACGCAAGATGAATAAATTATGACGTCATCCGTTAACTTTAAGGTTAACGTCGTGCGGCGAAAACTGCCTAATATCACTAATGTACACTATATGTACACTATCTATACATCCTTGGCTCCCCCTTTTTATAGGCCTATATTGATACGTTTTATAACGTTACTTTTATTGCTGATTTTAATATTGTTATTACTACTATTGTCTACTTTATTACTGTTTCTATATTTAAATATTATAGAAACAGAATATTATAATACACTGCCTTTTGCAGTCCCTGTAATATTCGTCTTCTTTTTCTTTTTATTGTTACAGTTTGCTTTTAGTTTAACTAGGTATATTCCTGATATTGTTATTCCTCTTGTTATTATTGTTAATGTTTTTGTTAGTGATGTTATTATTATTAGGCCTATTATTATTTTATTATTATTATTATCATTATTATTATTAGTTTATTATTATTATTATTATTATTATTATTACTTTATTATTATTATTATTATTATCATCATCATCATCATCATTATTAGTGCCAAGGAATAACAAAGACGGAAGAGCCACCGTCATCTAGAAGGATGCGCTATTCAGTACAAATCACCGGAAAACCAATTCAAGAAAAAATTACATAAAAAAAAAACGCAAAAATAACACAAAATACATTATAACACTGTATGTGATTATAATAAATTATTATTACAGAAAACTGAATTTATATCTTATTTCTATTAATTTTAATTTTATTTTATTTCACCCCCAACAGCGAAAATGCCAATAACAGGGAGCATAGAGTAATACAATATAAAATCACTATATTATTATAATAAATTTATTAAATGACATTGGGGATTTCAAATTTTTAAAGTAATTTCTAATTTTACTTTTAAACAAAGAAAATATGAGAAAAACGACGAAAAAAAGTGTCCAAGTTCTATTAATAATACAGTATATCTTTTTTAGATCTACTGCCTCTATTATACTGCCCTCATCGGAGCTTTCAAGATTACGAGAATTTGTTTTCTAATTATTTTTTTTACCAAGAAGTGATTTTTGTTAATTGTTTGTTCAAAAAGGAAAAATAAACTTTGATTTGATTTGATACCGGTATTTAATATCATTATCATTATTATTATATTTATCATTGCCATCAACACCATCATCATCATCAGTATCGTGCACCATCATTATTATTATTTTTATCATCACCATTATTACTATCATTAACGTTATCAATATCAATAACATTATCATTATTATTGTCAAAACCAAGAGCTAACCTCTATAGACACAATCCAATGTAACCAATAGCGATCGTGTGGGTGCCTACTGCTAGAGGCGTCTGGATCAACCATTATCAAAGTGTACCACTTGCTCACCTTCAAGTAAACAACAAATATAAATTTATTATCTTCTGTTCATCATAGAAAAACGCATCACTATATTAATTCTTATATCACCAATGTCATGTCAATAACCTAAAATCGCCATCATATTTAAAGTCCTAGTGATCGTTGTTGATCATTAATGATGACGTTCGATTATAATCATGATTATGACAATGATACTGATTATTCTGACGATGATGATGATGATGATACAATTCGTCGGGGAAAAAAAATTATATGTATTTTCGACATAGTCCTATTAGTGTAGACCCAAAATCGATTAAATAAGCCTTTAAAACCCCTAAATTGTCATATTTTTCGGGGGATTTTACCCCATAGATTATCTTCGACGGATTTTGAGTGACGCCCGACCACGCCCACTTTTTTCGTCGGGGAAATCGGCCCCCTGTCGGGGACCTCGGACCCCCCAGTCGGCCAAATCCTGGCGCACCACTGATTATTATAATCACATGTTTCGGCAATCTCATTATCTCTAGCAAATAACTGGTACACTGTCATTAAAATATTTTTAATTAATTATTAATATCGCAAGATACCGTAATGATAAAGAATGTACAGACTGCAAAGCAGGGCAAGAATAAATAATAGGCCTATAGTCAACAATAATAATAATTTGAAACAATTATAACACAAACCTATTATTCATATTATTATAAAAGACATAATTTCTAAACTCACCGCATTTTTATAGGTTATTTTCGGAGGTTTTCTTCCTATTTGCGAAAATTCAACACTTTGACCACATGTCAAACTGCCCACCCCATCCAGCTCCACAAGGATATCAGTAATAGATTTAATATAACACGCGTCAATAGTATAATCTTTTACTTCAGACGATGCATCATCCAAAAAAATACACTGGTAAATTACGATAACTAATATAAGCTTCCAACCCAATGAAATCTTCATTGTTAACCGGGATTTTCTTTTATGCTGAATAGACTTAACACTGAAAATAATAGTTTGTTTGTGTTGTGCGTACAGTGTTTTATACCTGGTGAACAATTACGTCATTCACATTATTGAATATTCATTAAAACAATAATTGGAAGCCATTCTTCGTTAAATACACAGCAGTTAATAATATTATTATTATTGACAGGAGATTGCCGATAATCGACCGACTCTATTACTTATAGGTCAGGTAGGGAATAAAACGTATTTATTTACAACCTATTTTAGTTTCTCATAAAATATATGTATTAGTTTTCTCTGATTAATTTTAATGCTACCCAACTCCTCATTGTTTTAGATGGTCAGCAACTTTACGAATTATTACTTAATTTAGTTAAATTTACTAGTCATGATTAATTATTATATTGGCACGATTTTAAAGAGGATCAAAATGGTTATATCAAAGCACGTACTGTGCCTTTTCAATTTAGATTTATTGTACTAGTTGTTAAACATTTTAATATAATTTATGAAAATATACGAAGATATACGAAAAAATGTAATATTAATGAACTATTGACGTTTTAAAATACAACTGATTAAAATTTGTTATGATTTTACGACAAATAAATGAGTGAATATCTGATACCAAAAGCATCTTGTAATTATAGTTCTGTTTATTAAAGGTCAAAATATTTACGACAATAAACTACCATCCAATAAGAAACCTAATAATGTAAAACAAAACTGATTCAAATTTGTTCTGATTTCGACCAATTTGATGAATGAATTCTATGATATCCCGACCAAAGCATCTTGTGGTAATTACTAGTCGTGTTTAAGGTCAAAATATTTATAACAATAGCCTACCATCCATTAAAATATATACAAAATATCAAACAACTATGAACAACGAAATTATACAGCAAAAACTTGCGTGCCGATACGACAATTGCTTCAGATTTTTTTTTTTCAAAAAGTATTTTTGTAGTGCATCGTTCAGTGATATGAAGAGAGGAATAAGCCTGCATAAAAGCTGACTTAAAAAGCTTTTGAAAATTAGGGCTGCCACTCCATAGACTACCTACTGTACATTAAGCCCTGTGCCTGAATACCTGAATAAATAACAATAGGCCCATCTGTAATATTCTTTCTGGCCCTGTCCTTGAGTTATCTATTTACTTTCTTTCTCAAAATTATTCATGCTTGCGTTTACAATTATGGAGATGTCTCACTTCCGTTCAATAACGTTAACAACTTGTACGGTATTGATTACAGAACGTAGTCTAAATTTCAATGACGTTAAAGGCGTTATACCTAAGAAGGTATTTTTTTTATTTAATTTCAATCATATATTTGACAAAACAAAATATATAATAAAACATCAATGGTCAGTGGCAGATTAAGCAAAAATCTCTATAACTCATAGCATTTACATAACTTATAATATAAGTTGTCTGTTTTGACTCTGTAATCTAAATTACTGATAATAATAATAATAATAGGCCTAATAATAATAATAATAATAATAGGCCTAATAATAATAATAGTAATAATAATAATTAATAATAATAATAATAATAATAACAATAACAATAACAATAATATTAATAATAATAATAATAATAATAATAATAATAATAATAATAATAATAATAATAATAATAATAATAATAATAATAATAATAATAATAATAATAATAATAATGTATATTTATAAAGTGCCGGTATCCGTTTAAGAGGAAACGCTCATGGAGCCCCTCCAAAAGAAAGTCGTGAAGAAAGAAGTGTGAAATAAATTTACGTTTACAATACATTTGAAATACAGATACATTTTTAAAAACATACATGAGCCGTTCAGCGTCTTTCTCACTCTCTCTATGTGGCTATGTGTGCACGGATATTTATTTATTCATTTATTTATTACCAATTCGACATATAGATGATATGCAATGGGTTACCTGGAGAGTGCCTAGAGCAAAACATGGACAAGGCCCAACACCAAATTTGGTCCACTGATCATATGATAAGATGTAATTCATACATGAAAGTAAAAACTATACTGAACAAGGCTCTAGGCATCCCCTTGTTTTAGAACCCGATTAGAATTGTTGGACCCCTATCGACATTTTCCTAATTTTTCCTGATTTTAGGAACATTTTACAACAAAATCCTTAAATCGACATTACCAATTTAAGAGTCTATGTATAAATAAGAATATAGCACTGGTATAATTTAACTGGCTGTTAATTGACAGGAAAACAATATTGTCATTGATATATTTAATTGTAAGTTTGTAACTTACTTAAATATAAATATTCAGTAATGGAATTAAATTGTTTATCTTTCAGCTCAAAACCGACAGTCTATATTTAAATTGGACCTCAGTTGGAAATAGGCTGGACTCCGGCCTAATGGGCGAACCTGATGCTCATTACAGTAATTTTTACTTTTCTTGATTTCAATCTATTAATTTTGTTATCTTGCTCATACATGTTGAGCATCGAATAAATTAAAATCAATCAATCAAAAAATATTATATCAAGAAAAATGTTTGTATGAAGATTATAGTTATATTATTAGGGTATGTTTATTGTTTGAATATACTGTATATATGCATCTATATATTAATTTCAATCGAATAGTACACTTTTTATAAATTTTATTTACCCATGACAATCGGAATATTAACATAATTCGTTTATTGCGATCTACTAGTCCTAGATTTAAGGGGAGTGGGGGAAGGTAGCAGCCGGCCTGCCCCCACCCACCCTAAATCTTTTAAAATGGTAAAACATTTGAGAAAAAAAGAAAATTACATTCAAATCTAAAATCTGAGAGTGCTGAGAGGTGCCATAATCGAAAAGTTTCTTACCTCAGCCCCAACCATGGTGGGCTGAGGTGGTGGGAACCCTTCATCTGGCAAAATCCTTCCCCGTGGGTCCCCTCTATTTCAAACCTATTGGCTCTGCCTCTGTTTTTATTTATATATTATGTTTTGATGATACTCCGTTATTCCTGTTTCCTAATCTTTTCTCAATGTTTTTTCTATTCCAGTGATGTAGACAAAGAATCCACAACTATCAGGAAAGAATGTCCGGACTCAATTGTGAAAGGGCAACAGAACTTACCAATTATTCATACATAGCCAAAAATTGTGTCACTCATCAAGCTTCCTGCAAAAATGCTGAATATGAAATTAATTAAATTATAGTGTAAATTTTATTTTTTAAATGTTTTCCTCTGCAATAATCTAAAAAAATAATGTTAGCAATATGTAGTAATTCTTGTAGGCTTTATGTTTATTAATATTGTATTATTACTGCTAATGTTTATCTTAATAATAGAGAAAGTAACCAGTTTGTTGTAAAGAATATAGACATGTAAGATAATAAGATATAACATTTTGAGGATTAAAATCAGATTTATTGATTTTTGGCGGATGTACATGACTAGGCCTACAGTATATAAATATAAAATGTATATATACATATCACAACTTGATTTCAACTAGTGAGAAATATATTCAAACTATTTTCATTTTGGCATCTGTGTTAAGTTAGGCCTAATTAAGTATAAATCTCATTAGATTAAAAACACTTTTTGTAAACTTTATGACATCCATACTTTAATGAGGTATAGGAATACAAATTTATAGTTATATGAATATTTTACTTTATTTATTTATTTGTTATTTATTTTATTTATTCATTTCATATTCAATTTTATATATACATATATCTTTTATTTTAAATTTATATCTATATATATGTATGTGTGTGTATGCTTGTGTGTAGGTGGGTGTGTGTTTGTTTGTGTGTGTGTGTGTGCGTGTGTGCATATATATGTGTGTATGTGTTTATATATGTATATATATTATTTTGTCATTAGTATTATTATTATTATTATTGCTGTAATTATTGTTGTTATTATTGTTATTATTATTATTATTACTATTATTATTATGATTATTCCTATTACGGTATTTATTATTATCTATTTATTATATTATTATTATTTATTGTTTGTTATTGGTGGTCATGTCTTATTTTGACCTCCTACCGCACACTTCTTTTTTTTTTTGTTTATAAAATGTATTTTCAATTGTAATATTTATCGTTGATTAATTTATATTTTATGTGTGGTGGTAAAAAACAATAAAACAAACAAACAAACAAAAAAATTCAGAAAATAAAATTGATGTTTGATTGATTATGTAAAGTGCACATGTTAATAAAGCGTTATTTTAATATGGGTGGATGAGCACGCTCCCCAACATCCCACCCCAAATCGAAAAGGTCACAATTTTAAGACAGTCGAAAATGTACTGAATACACTTTTTTTTTGTAATGAAACTTAAAAGCGAATATTAAATCTTAACATTTTAACCAATACTCTATCGGACCCTTGTATCGTCCTATAATAACAAAGCTTGGGTCCAACCTGCTTTTCCCCTTCACGGCATCTGGAGTTTTAGGTGAACCCTCCCCATTTGGTATGATCATTGCATCTTATGTTCTTATCCTATTATTATATATCTGTTTATTTATATAGCATTTCGAAAGACGGTTTAGATTTTCCCTACATCCTATCCTGATTTGTATACCGTCCTGGTGAACTTGGTATTCATGGTCACTTTGCATTCGTGTCGCCATACTGTAACACAACAAAAAATATAAAGTGTAATCAATGGCAGCTACTCTAGCTAAAAAGTCTCGCTTTTTTGGTTTGAAGTTTAGATAGAAACGCCTCTAGACAATTCCAATTGTTTCATATTCATCATTTGCATAATTTATTTTAACACGATTTTAGTAGCCTTTATTTTCATATGAAATATAATGTACTTTGAGATAATACTAAATGTTCATTAAAATAAAATAAAATAATTTTTGAAAATAAGGCAAAAAAAAAAAAACAATTTCGCTGTACAATAATACAATAAATAGGCCTAATGTATCCTCGTTGATTGCTTCTGCAGGTAATAACACCAATACCATACGTACAATTGAACCAAATATATTCTAATCACATGCAAAATGTAATCACCTGACTCTCTCCCTGACGGGTTCCGGGGTCGACGAGGCTTCTTGTCGGTAATACGTCGGTAACCCTCCGCTGAGTCTGGGCCCGGGCCTTGGCGAAGGCCCGAGCCTTGGCGAGGTTGAGTACTTAGCTTTGCGGCATCATATGATGATCCCTCCCTCCGTTCAGTTGGCTGGGGCCGAGCAAGTAGCTCTATCGTGCATTTAAGTGACCAGCGTACGAAGAGCGAAAACTTGAATACTAAAGAACAGAACACACTTGCAAACATGGTATTCACTCGTAGTGATCTCCAGAACGTAAACACTCACTCTCTGGATGTTTATGTTGAACATGCTAGAACTATAACAAATAAAATAAAACTACTAAAAGCATGTTTATAAATAAATGTTTTAAAACATACAACTTATGAATATGCAACAATTGTAGGCCTACATTTGTAGAGGGTACTTTAATCTAAACTTTATAATTTATATTTCTCTGCAGATTTATAAATGCCACTTAAAGCCTATTTTTAATCTTAAATAACGATAAATAGGATGATATTCAATGTGCCCATGTGGCCGAATCTGAGAAAAACCAGTGAACAGTGAAATTACACTGTTCCCTGCAAAAACGACCAGGTTAAAAATTAGCCAATTTTGGTAAAAAAAAAAACCATGAGCGCTCACACTTTTTTGGACGATTTTTTTTTTTAACCACGCCATTTTCCGCCGGGTTGTTTTGTATTCAATGACACCTTAAGATGACAAGTCCTCTGTAGGTTGATAAATGCCAGTTAATGAATAAATACGGTAATACATGAAAAGAATGAATGATTGAACGATAATACGTAAGAAGATTAGTGATTCATTTTTATCAGTCGATTAATCAGTCAAATGTTGGTGCATTTCTTTTGATGATTACGACATTATTCCACATACTTCTGTACCTCATTCATCAACTATCAACACAAAAGATAAATACTTTCCAATAATGTTAGTATCATCGTACTTTGTTATAACCGATAATGTTTATATACAAGGATGCTTTACTACATGCCATAAGACATTATTGTTTGTTAATATTGTCTCTACGGACGATTTATGTTGGGTTTAAAGTAGCGACCGAGATTAACGAGTGATTGTATGCTTTGTAGGCCTAGATTCGAATAACACATTTTTCTCCAATCGAGAGGAAACGGCAGGATCTTGTTTCCAATGGATTTGCTCTTTGACGCTCTTGTGGACTATCAAGTGATCTAGAGAATTTTGCACTTTGCATCCACAAGACCCAGCATGGAAGAGGATACTCACGAAAAGCATCCGCCCTACATTCTTGGTGCTCTGATTTTAGAATTTATAAACACAGCCATCGGAAGCATTGTGGTCCGGCCATTGTAAGAGCGGGATGGGGAAGAGTCCATACCCACCTCACCCCACCATGGTTGGGCTGAGGTGCGAAAATTTGAGGAAATAGTACCTCTAGATGGCAAAAAATTACAATCTTTAGTAAAATTCATCATCACCATTATAGTCAAAATTTCTCATGAACTTTTATCATCGATTTACCTTGCTCTGATAAGTATCATGTGAATATATTTGGAAAGAGTGTTTATAAATTATAGTAGCCTGTAATAGTGCTATATTCGAATTCGAAGTGATTATAATATATTTAATTCGATTATATACTGATTAATAATCGTGAAATATATAATATTATTATTAAAACAATTACAACAAAGGAAGTACACACAAATACGGTATGTATAAATTACACTACAGTTTACTTTTATTTCTTGCATACTCGGAAATGTTACATCAGAACTATATAAATGTAATATAAATAGAATATGATTCTAGTTTTATATAATATAATATAATAATGCTTAGGACTAATTATATTTAAGTATGTAATGTCGTTCGAGGATTACTTCTTGTTGTCGTTGTTTAAGAAATATAATTGGCAAATTTTATTCAATTCCGGCGATCCAGTGATATCAATCATAATAAATATCTGCACACGATTGTTTGTAGAATTAAGACCTCAAAAATCCGGCTATTGATGGCATCTTGTGTCCGGCAATTTAATACACATCATGTTCCGCTGATTGTACATCGACTTTGCACTTATTGATGTATCGGTGGATTTGACCTGAGACACTGAAATAAAAGAGATGGAACTTGCGAGAAATACATTCACACTATTTTCATTTTGGCATCTGTGTTAAGTTAGGCCTAATTAAATCTCATTAGAATAAAAACATTTAATAGAGACTTTATGACATTTATACCTTCATGAGGTATAGGAATACAAAATTTGATTGATTTAATACATTATGTAAAGTGTTCATGTTAATAAAGCGTTAACCAATACTCCGTCGGACCCCTGTATCGTTCTATCCAACCTGCTTTTCCCCTTAATGGCACCTGGAGTTTTAGGTGACCCCTCCATATTTGGTATGATCATTACATCTTAAGTTCCTATCTGAGCACTGTTATTATTATCTATTTATTTATAGAGCATTTCAAAAGACGGTTTAGATTTCCCCTACATACTATCCTGATTTATATATATACTGTCTCTTATACACATCTAGATGTGTATAAGAGACAGTGCCCATGTGGCCGAATCTGGGAACAATGACCATGTTAAAAATTGGCCAATGTTGGCAAAAACCATGAGCTAGAGCCCATACTTTTTTTTGTACGATTTTTCTGACCCCTCCATTTTTCAGATGTTTCGTATTTGCACATATATATATAATATTTATAAACAATTTTGATAAATATATCGAAAAACGAATACAATGCAGGAAATAATATTAAACTGTATAAATACACAAGATTTTGAGAACATTAACGGCATTAGGACCACCTTATGCTGTATTCTATTTTCATGAATATGTGTATTTTTATGCAATTGTTTAAATCAAAGTCTTATAACCCAATTTCACTTAGCCTACTTTTAAAGAGTACATCGATTTACATTGTTGAATGTAGGTCGCAAAAACATGTGCCTACGGCTATAAGGTATGTCAATACACAACAAATCTTTAGCTCTGTTTTTTTACTGTTGTTTACATTTTCACTCAGATAGGCCTATTCCGGTTTAATGCCATTGTATGAAAAAAACTCAAAACAATTTTAGAGCACAGTCTCCAGTCTGAAAATGTAGGCTTAACAACAACAGAACAATGGATACCGCAATTAAATCTAACACCATGAAGCCATACAGGCTTGTACAACTACAGTATGGTACACTCTCTACTTAACTACATGTATATTTTCTTACTTAGAAGAAACACTATTCCAAAATTCAATATTTTAGAAGATGTTTTTGCGACGACGTGTCTACGACACAGTTCCGGTAGTTCACATACACGCTTGCTTCAACCGTAATTTGGATAATTATGAGACAGCACAACCAACCAGGCATCTGAAGGAAAATTTCTGCCAAGGACAGTAGTGCCCTACAAGGCTAAACCTACAAATTATTAGTTCACGCTCACCCCTTATTAGCGTCCACCCTCGAATTGGTCTAGCACTGAGGCCGAAACGGTATCGACCAGTTTTTCAAAATCCAGTTTGCCGAAACCCGTGATTGCCGAATCCAGT